CGTTATGCAAGTTCACTTACGTACCAGACATTCCAAACATTCTGCTGACGCAATGGTATTAATTTCACATGCATGGGTATTCATTCTGCTGACGCAATGGTATTGCAACATGCAGACAAAACTGTTTAGTCATCAATACATAAATATAGCACGCTAAATGACAACATTGTAATTGCCTCATATTCTAAATGTAGCTTTCGCGGAGCATATATAAACGTAGCAATGTACACTTGCGCATTTTATGTAAATAACTCTTATAATACAGTAAAGATATTTCAGTCTATCTCGCTTGGCGCATTCAAGAGGACATCGACGACTTTCCACGCGAAATAAGTGTTCTGCGCAATATTTCTACGTGAACCGGCAATCATCTCCAATTTGGAAATCGGAAAGCAATACTCGCTCTAAAAACGTATTTGGCTGTATTTGCTGGTTACGTATTCTTTATGGCAAAGGCTGTGCGCTTTAAAGTTCGTTGCACAGTTTGTCATGAGGTTTTTCAAAACGACTACGTTGGGAAACATACAAAATCTAAACACAAAGACCTTCACGCGTCTGGTCGTCAGGCACCCGTAACCATTGAGTTGGATAAGTCTGATACTCGTCAAAGTAAAATGGATGCCTTTTTCCGCTCAACTCCTGCCGACGACTCAAATTCCAGTGGTGCGAAAAAGAGAAAAATAGCCACTAGCGTTGAGATTACAACATTGTCTGAACCAGAGGAAGGTGATGAACCGGCAACAGACCATGGAGAGTCAATTAGAAACACTCAAAAAGGTAAATTTCCGTGAATATCGCCTTAGAAATAGATGACGTCCATACGTGTCATACAGTACGGAATAATTAAATGAATAAATAAATAATAAAGTGCGACATTGAAACAATTATTACCCCTATTTTTGATCACATTGATGAACCTATTCTAACTGAACATCAAGAAAAAGAGGACATGATAGAAGAAAGTGACGGAACTAGCTCGGGTGGTGAATTGTCGGATGATGGGTCAGATGATGCTGATCCTGCTGGTCTTGGAGATATGATGAGCATAGGTATATATTTTCATTTTTAGATACTTTAAATTTTGACATAGAATATAAAGTTGACAATATATTGCACTTCCATAACTAGCAATGAATTATAAAAGGGTGACACAATTCCCAATACAGTACTCTATATCGAGTTTGTTCATGTTTTTTATTCATAGATAAATCTGATGGACAAAGTAATAGCAGTGGTGTACATGAGGGGTCTAAGCTAGCAACAAATTTATCAGGACCGAATGATATCTCTTTGACGAAAGATGATCAACCAGTGCAACCTCGAAAGATTAAATTCCCTTCTCATATAATTGGTCGACAGTACAGGTCATTTAATCCCTCTCTCTATGATAAATACTTGTGGTTAGAATACTCGGAATGTGAAGACGCTGTGTACTGCTTTTACTGCCGACATTTCTTCGCCGAAAGAAAAGAGCCGACCTTTGTTACCCATGGTATGCGGAATTGAAAAAGTGCTATGGAACGAAACCGAATAACAACAAATTGCTTCAACATCAAACCAGCTTTCAGCATGCTCAATCTGTTGCAGCTCACGCTCACTACCTGGATATCAAATCTGGTAAATTCCAATCTGTTGCTGAACTTCGCAAAGCAGATAAAGGATAATAGACACTATTTGCGCACTATAGCTGAAATTCTTCTTGTTACTGCCCAACAGAAAATTGCCCAGCGGGAGACTGGCAGATCATTTCGCGTTAAAGACATCATAAGAAAATCTCTTACGTTTGGACAATCGTGTGGCAATTTTCTGGCTATTCTTTCCGTTGTTGCCAGACATGACTCAGTTATTGCTGAAAGAATTCGATACGGCCCTGCAAATGCAAAATACATCCATCACACCATCCAGAATGCTTTGTTAGATATTATGAAGGACATGACTTTAGAACAGATTCAAGAAGAAGTTCGCAAAGCTGTATATTTTACAGTTCTTGCTGATGAATCTAAAGATACTAGCAAAAAGGAACAGGTTGTCGTTGCAGTGCGGTACTGTCTTAATAACGGTATCCATGAAGAATTTGTTGGAATTGCCGAAGCACAAAGTTTGGATGCCGACGGTCTTACCGATACCATTATCAGCCAGTTAAGGAGGATTGATGCCAATATGAAGAACTGTGTTGGGCAGGGCTATGATGGAGCATCTGTGGTTGCTGGTCGGTTGAATGGAGTGCAAAAGAAACTTCGAGAAAAAACTGGTTCTGAAATGGCCTACTACGTGCATTGCTACTGTCACAGATTAAATCTTGTAATTGTTGATGTGGTGAATTCGATCACGTGTGTGGCAAATATGATCGCTCTTATTAAAAAGATACATTCATTTCTTGGCACCAGCACTGTACATGTACGATGGGAGAAAGCGCAAGAAATCCGTGGCCTAAAAAGAATGGAAATTGGAAATATTTCCGATACGCGGTGGGCATGCCAGGCTAAACAGTTGAGTGCAATGGCAAAAAGGATGGAAGTTGTCCACGAAGTGCTGGAAGAAATCATTGACAATGACACTGATGCCGATCGTGTTGTTGATGCGAATGGATTTAAGCTACAGATGGATCGCCGTTTTGTGCGATATCTTTTAGTTACCAAGCATATTTTGAAGAAAGCGAAGTTTGCCTCAGATATGTTGCAGAAGCCAACCAACGATCTATCTAATGCAATTGACCTTATTACAACTCTTAAAGAGGAAGTAGACGCCTGCCGCTCGCGAGAGAAATGCCAGCAGTTTTGGGATGAAGCTGAAGATGTTGCCGACCGTTTAAACCTACCAGACGATGTACGACCTGTTCGAAACAGACGACCGCCAGCGGCTTTACGGGATTTTTATGTGGAAGCTAACATCGAAGAGAATCTCGGACAAGCGGGTTTCGATGAATTCGTTCGAGACGTTTACGAAATGGTAGACAAAGTAAATGCAGAACTTAAAAGAAGATTTGACGAGAAGAACATTGTTATGATGCAAGGTGTTACTTCATTGTGCCCAAGTTCTTCCAGCTTCCTAGATGAAGATTCGCTTGTGGCTTTTGCAAAGTTATTTAATGTCAATACCGATTGCCTACGCTGCGAAATAGCAACCTTTCATCACTTGCTTAAACGAAAGGACAAGGAAGATCACCCAAAAGGACTTCTTCAGATGCTATCTTACCTGGAGACGTTAAAGGAAGCATTCTCTGAGCTGCATCGCATTGTTCTGATTGCCTGTACTTTACCTGTTTCATCAGCTGAATGTGAAAGAAATTTTAGTTCAATGAAGCTGATAAAGAATGAACTCCGTTCAGTAATGAAACAGGAGCGTCTGGATAGCCTTATGATGTTGGGAATTCACCGCGAGCGAGGAGAAAAACTGGACTTAGATAACGTAGTAGATAGGTTCAAAGCCAGATTTCCCAAATGCAGAATTTCTCTTTGAATTTGGATGGGTTTTTCTGTGGGAGTTACTTATGGTCATGGATAATAACTACACTTCCTAAAATTTTATGTTTCCGCGAGGGACACGCGTGTCTGAACTTCCTACTGTATAAACTTTGTATATTGATTCGTATATTTTATAAAGAACACATTATGCTTGCTCAATTGTATATTTTAGTTACATAAAATATGTTAGTATGTATTCATTAATTTCTACTTTAATACGCATAACCACGAAAAAATTTGCATAAGCCCCCCCGTCGGGGAACCTAGCCCCTGCGTCGGGAAATTTCTGGCGCCACCACTGGTCACTATGTGACTGAATATTTGTAACTTATATGTTTGACATTAGAAAATACAAATCACATAATAAATTTGACACTAGATTCACTACTGCAACATCATGGTTAGATACTAAGTATGTATTTAATTAAGTGAAATCTCTCAAATGCTTTCTTTTATTTTTCCCTAGTAAATCACAGGCGGCCCAATCTCGCAAGGGTCAGTATAGACTTATAGTATAAATGTATATTATATTATATTAATGTATATTATAGTAAAAATATGTCTTAAAATATAAATTTTAAAATGAAATTGACTTGCCTATTTGATAGTGTGTGTTCTCCTTTTATTCCTCCTTTGTTGGACTAATATTTTCCGAGACTTTGTACTCGATGTTACTAGTATACATGAAACATGATAAAGGCTAACCATTCCCGATCGTCGATACGACCGCACGGCACTTCGAATCGAAAAATTTCACACTCAAATCGCTTTATTCTCCAAAAAAATTCGCCAGCATGTACAACAAATGCCGTTCTTCGAAAATACGGAGGTACTTCGGCGAGATGTACAAGTTTTGGGCCATATTTTAACAATGGAAATCAAAACCCATTTTATATTGAACTTGCCCAGGCCGAAAATTACTACGGCGAACGTCTGCGCAACCAGGCCTCCTTTACCGTTGGATTTACAGGGGGGAGGATGCCACTAATATATTCACGATAATATTTCGAATTAAAGTATCATATTCTACCATGCTTTCCAACAAAGAGCCGCTGTATATTACTTCTTCCTTAAATTTCTCCAATCTCCGTCGTTTAGTTTTCGTTTCTTCGACAACATCTCGAGTTTTATACAGTATCCGATCGAAGGAGTTTTTATTTTGAATATCAAATTTCAAATAATGTAAACAGTTACTATCGCGGCCGCGATTGGCTGGCTGTTACCTGAAATATCTGCTTCCCCCCTGTAAATTCAACGGTAAAGGAGGCCTGGTTGCGCAGACGTTCGCCGTAGTAATTTTCGGCCTGGGCAAGTTCAATATAAAATGGGTTTTGATTTCCATTGTTAAAATATGGCCCAAAACTTGTACATCTCGCCGAAGTACCTCCGTATTTTCGAAGAACGGCATTTGTTGTACATGCTGGCGAATTTTTTTGGAGAATAAAGCGATTTGAGTGTGAAATTTTTCGATTCGAAGTGCCGTGCCGTCGTATCGACGATCGGGAATGGTTAGCCTTTATCATGTTTCATGTATACTAGTAACATCGAGTGCAAAGTCTCGGAAAATATTAGTCCAACAAAGGAGGAATAAAAGGAGAACACACACTATCAAATAGGCAAGTCAATTTCATTTTAAAATTTATATTTTAAGACATATTTTTACTATAATATACATTAATATAATATAATATACATTTATACTATAAGTCTATACTGACCCTTGCGAGATTGGGCCGCCTGTGAGTAAATTAACAGACATTGCATTAAATTAACACTGTCCAAGTGGAAATTTCTCGCTTATTACTGTAAGAACATCGATCAACAAATTAGTGAAGCCCTGAATGTCAGAATTTAGCTATTTATGACAGGCTTGACAGCACTATTTCCTATTGAAGAATTACAATATTTATCTGTCTATAAGATTATAACGTCCAAATATTTCAGCTATATGGGGCTTGAAGTTCAACTGTTTCATCCACACTTGGTTATAATATTTATAAACCGATCTGCCGATATCAAAAACCCGGCCTTAACGCGCTCTAAGCTATGCATATTTGGGCATAGTTTGGGAAAGCCTCAGAAGAAAAAAAAACACGCATTCCAAAGGGAAAAAGGTAAATATATGGAAATATTTTGCTTGGAACCCACGACTTTTTATTCGGGACCCACGATTTTTTACCCACGACCCACGCCTTTTTACTCACGACCCACGCCTTTTTACCCACGACCCACGCCTTTTTACCCACGACCC